GGGGAGCTAATATTCTCAATTTTTTTCTTTCTATTTGCACTATCTTTCTTGTCAGCCTAAACCCATCTCCCTGTTATCCATTCAGTAAGAAAAATAGTGCATATAAAATTATTTTGAATAAAAATGTAAAGAATATGGTTCACCTCAATCATCCCTAAAACTATCTGTTTACACAGCAATATCCACTCTAATTTACTCTTAAAACCTCGTACCGTCTAATTCGACGGGTTGAACACGCTGAATGCTTCTTTATAGTATAGCAAGGGGTCGTGCTTCTGGCTTTTCCACTGGATCTACTACTATCTTGGCCATTTAATATAATCTTACCTTGAAATTGTGCATATAAGTTTATATTTCGTACCATGAGTAGAAGAGAAGGAAGTTAGGTGTGATAAAATTGCACATAAAAAAGAGTTGTGCAATCACAAGTCCAGTATTGGTTTAATGTCGCTTTTGTTGCAATCGAAGTGTCACATAGAGCATTCTAGTATACACAATCAAAAGTAATACTTCCATTTATTTTCACACGGATTAAGAAATATTATTTAATGTTATTGAAAAAATAATTTTTACCAAAAACTTTTCTAATTCGCCCTTATTTAATTATCAATAACTAGTAGTAAATTATTATTGAAAGTAGTAAAGAATTTGAATGATTTAATTTTCAATTCTCACATTGGTTATAGTTTAGCAAATTAAATAAAGGTATATTAGTAAACAAACAAAATAAAATATTCTCGATAAAGAAATATGACTGTATAATTGAAACAAGAAATTAAGTCAACAGATATAAATAAGAGCGAGAGAGTACTTGCTTAATAATTTAATGTCAAAATCAAAGTCTGTGTCATATGGAACATACTCTTAGACAAATCAAAAAATGGAGTTAATTGCATAAAAATTTATCATTTCTTTGAAAAATAATAGACTAATGCTCGTGAAGTTTTTGGATAAGGATGACAACGAGGCGGGAAGGGGGTCCTTGCCCCGTTTACTACCCGTTTAAATTTTTTTTATTTTTCATAATTTATTTTTATTATCCATATTCATTTAATTTTGACAAATAATTTTAGTTGTTATTTTCATTAAATTTATCCCCGCCCCATTTGGGGCAGGGCCCCACGAGTATCGAGCTTGTTGAGTTTTTTTGTTATCCCTATTTTTGGACTTGAAATTGATAATAGCGAAAAATATTGAACGTATATTATTGTTGGAACTTCTTGAATGAATAACGGTGTCGGGAGTTCGAATCCTCCTCGCCCATAGTCAGCCCAAAAGGAAGGTACCTTTCTCTCTTGGAATTAATTGCTTCCTGTCCATTGATTGCTTTCTTTCTCTAAATTTGCTTCCTCCATCTAAA